TTATAAATTCCCTAGATTGCATTTAATTTCATTTATGTACCTGCTTTTAGTATAGCCTGAGCAAGAGGAGCAATCATTTACTAAAACCTTTTATATATATATATACATATAATATATATATATATATATATATATATATATATATATATATATATATATATACCATTCATGTACTATTGTATATGTATATATACATTCATATACACACATACGCACTCGGAGAAACTCATATATATGTGTGCGCATGTATATATCTACGTATAAGCATACATACACCAATATATACACACATATATATGAATAAATGCACAAACATAAAAAGGAATATATAAATATGAATAAATATATACATATGTATATACACATGTACTTCTATATGCATGTATATATGTACGAATGCGCGCGCGCGCGCACACACACACACACACACACACACACATATATATATATATGTACTTATATATACATGCATATATACATGTTTTTCTATATATACATATATATTTGTATATTCACATATATATGTATATACACACATAAACACATACACATATATTTGTGTTTGTGTGCATGTGCATCTATAAACATACATGCTCAAACACATATAGATATATATCAAGACATACCTTTATATGTGTTCATATACACATATATATACTTATATACATGTATATATTCATATGTATATTTGTATATGTATGTATGTTTTTATATGTGTGTGTGTGTGTATTCATAGAGACGACCACAAAACATACATGTGTGTAAATATACTATATATATGAACATCATTATATGATAATAATAATGATAATAGTAATGATAATACATGTGTTATTAATAACGCAGACTACATTAGAGATAGGGGATGATTTAAATGAAGATGAACGTGCATGGATTATAATGAAAAGAATGTGAATATATATGCAGTATTTGATCAATCGTACTTTTGTTATCTCATTCATTATAAATTAATTTGCTTAATTTTTTTTCTGGTCCGTTCGTTGTGTTTCAGTGTTTCGCTACACAAAGGTCTGGTTTACTATGGTTAATTTCTTTACACACTTTGTCAATTCTATGTTTCTACAGTGATTGTAGTTGGAAGATTTGATTGGTGTATGTTTTGGCCACAATCTGTGTGTGGATTTACATATAGATAGATAGTCATGGGTACATGCAATCAAACGCATAATTGAATGCACAGATATCCATGTTAATATATAAATACACGCGCTAAATCCGCAAAGTAAGAGAAAGCACGCGAACAACAAGCAAAGTATGAGGTATACAAAATCTGTGATGCAGCATTAAGAAATATAGGAAAATCTATCTTCTAGCTGAAGACAACTTCATGGGATCCTTTCTATTTCCCAATAAACAAAGATTAAGCGAAGGAAAACCCTTGGAACGATGCACAAGAGCAGCTGCGTGACGTCAACAGCGTCACATGGCTATCAGCGAGATCGCATATAAAGCGAAACCAAACTGCATTCGTTGTCAGTTGCCATTGCATCAGCACAAGGAACCGGTGCACAAGAGACTCTCCTTTCTTTCAGTATGAAGTAAGTTTCGTACGAAAGAATATCTTTGTAGTTTTCCTGGCAAAGATTCTGCATCTTGCACCAATCAGTATTTCCCAATCGCAAACACTAACATACATAGCACATGATGGTATGGTAACGAATGCTATCTCGTTCCCAGGGTGACACTGATCCTGGTCCTGGTGGCCGTCGTCGGCCTCTCCTCCGCCTACTCCCTCGGCGATGTCTACGAGAAGCTCCATCGTGTCGAGAGGTGAGCTTGCAGGCAGGATTTGCCATGCAAGATACTGCAAAGTTTGCAATCATATTGAGCTAGATCGAAAGATATCCAACTGCTCAGAGTGTTGTAGAGAGGAGGATTTCTCTGCATATAAGACTGCCTTTCCATATTTCATTCCAAGGCCATCTTCTCCCTTAGATAATGGGGATATAATGTGTTCCTTTTTTCCTCAGGGATATGAGCTCAGGAATGAGCGGAAGCACGTCCGTGGAGAGGATAGAGAAAAGGTTAGTTGTTATAAGTTTTTTTTATTTATGACTTTTGAACTCATCCGGGGAGAGGATAAGAAATTAGATATTGTAAGATTTTTTCTTAGACATAGATATATTTTTTATGCGAAGAAAGATTTTTATTAAATGAAATAGGCTATGAATAATTTTCTTTTGTTTTATCAGAGACATCAGCACAGGGAGCAACAGCAACAGCGTGTCTTTGGAGAGAATAGAGAAAAGGTTAGATATTGCAGGACTTTCTTGTTTTTAGATTAAATACCTCGATGTCTAGCATGAAATTTTACCAAAGCTTATTGTAAATAATCTTGCAAAATGTCAACAATATTAAGACAACGTCCTTTCAACCAATCCTCAGAGACATCGCTGCCTCTCACGACTTGGATCTGAGGCGCCTCAGGAGGTGAGTCGACGCCAAGCGATGAGGAATGTGTGTTAGCGAAGAAAGTCAT